CTTATTGAGTTATTTAAATTTATCACAGAAGACTTAGAAATGTACTTTCAACGAAAACTCCTTTCCTTGGCTTTTGGTAAACCACAAAATCTACACCTTGCATCACGTTGTTTTGGGAGATCAGCTAGCTCTGTTAGTCAAAGCACAATAACCATAGATGAAAAAAATCCAAGCAAATTCCATGTGCCCAGCAGGGAGGACAACAACATCATATACACTGTTGACTGTACAATAGGAACCTGTACATGCCCACAGGGAACAAGTGGAAATGCCTGCCCCCACCAAGCAGCTGTGGCATTGAAATTTGGAATAAGCAACATAAACTTTGTTCCTCAAACAGCAAAGGAGAGATTCAACCTTGCTATTCTTGCTGTTGGGAATAACAACAATTTCAGTGTCACTCAGTTTGTAAGCCTTCACCAAAAAGAAATTGAAAGCAGTCCTCACTTCTACAAAGACCAAGACAAGGATCATGATGAACAGCAAGTAATATTACCTTCAATGCCTGCTGACTCACAAGAAAGTATTAGCACAGAAACCAATGACAACTGCATCAGTTCACAAACAGATGCCAATTTGCCAGATGCTGAGTTATCAGTTGACCAAATAATTAAGCTTCACCAACAAGTCTCCCATGATATTGAGTACAAGCTTAGAACAAGCGATACTAACTTCAGGCTCCGCTATTATAAATACCTGACTTTGTATAGGAGAATCATTTCAAAGTGTAGGGGACAAGCACAAGTTGCTTCACTTGCTACTGCCTATGCACAGTTTGTAAAAGATAGGGGTGGAAATTATTTGCCAGTCTTGCATAACAGCTCCAGAATTAAAGTACAACCAACAGCTATTTCCAGAAGGAAATCTGGCATAAAATCTACAAGTGCACAACCAAGTGGTCGTCGTCCCATGTTATCAAACAGTAACAAAGATGCCAACATGAAAGTTAGAAAAACATTCAACAGTCAAAAAAGAAAGAGAAATATTGCCCATAACATCAAGAAAAACTTACCTAATGCTGGTCCTAAAAGATAGAGCAATGTCTGAAAGAAGTTCTGAATCCACTGTGTTGAAGGAGGCAATAAACATAGAAATGGCTTAGCATTAATACGGTCATGTGTAGAATTATTTTCCCTTGCAATTAACTTTGATTATTGAAACAATTACAATAATATCCATATAAGCAGATGAAAGACTCCATATAGGTTCATTGTAACTCGGCAACAATCGTTATTCACAAGAGTGAAAAATCACTAATGTCATGTTGGATTACTAATGTCAGATCTGTTTTGAGGTTAGACCATATCAGGGACCAGGGAGCATGTTTTGGATTGGTCGTGTTAGCTTGTGTGAGTACAAGCCAAATTAGTGTTAGAGGTGCAAGCTCTTCCCCTCCCCCCCAGTGCCACTACTGGAAAGGTTTGACATTTTTGAGATTCTGACATCACCAAAAACACATTTATTTCTAACAGTTCTGACATTTTATCAAATTGTTATCACCATTCGGTTAATTTTCTGCACAAAAAACATACATTTAACAGGATAAATTGTGTTTGCTTTATAACACTAATATTATAGGTACTTTTGTAAATTTAATATTTAAAAAAAATCCTGGTGAAGTTGTTGGTGCGGGCTCTACTCTCCACCCAGCCCCATAGCTCCCTGGTCCCTGAGCATTCAACATAGAACTCTGGAAAAAGCTTAACCTTAGCAATAGATACAAAAAGTGTGTTTGGTGAGCCATTTTAACTCCCGTCATTGGCAAGATGAGTCCCAGAAGCACATTTTTAGGCCTAAGTAAAGATAGTAGTTGCATTTCCTAGGGTTAGGGTTATATATGCTGTGGTTCAATTTTATTCTTGGTTTCAATTTTATTCTCCTTCGTTTTGAGGTATGGTAATGTAGGATAATGAGTTTTAAAACAAAGGGACAAAATTTAAACCAAGGATGAAATTGAACCACAACATATACATACATACAGAAGAGAAGAAGAAGAAGAAGAACAGAGAAGAGAAGAACATCTTCGTCAAAGCAGACAAAACTACTAACTATTACAAGACTGAACCCAACGACTACGTGACACTTGTAGACAAAAACATTACGAAGACATACAAGAAAACAAACCCAAAATTGCCGGACATGATCACTTTAAAAGACAAGATAATCGCAGAAAAAACTGGAACTTGCAGACCGCATTGAAACCTCAGCGCCCAGAGACTCATTCAAAACGCTAAAAGATCCATGCAAATGCAATCCATGCAAATCCGAAATTGGCATCATCAGCAAAAACATCCTCGACCGAATAAACCACGAAACTACACAAGCGACTGAAGTGAACCTGTGGAAATGTACCAAAGATACCATAGAATGGTTTAAAGATGTACCGGAAAAGGAAAAACACGCATTTATCACCTTTGACGTCTGCGATTTTTACCCATCCATATCTGAAGACCTGCTACTGAAAGCATTAAACTATACCGGTATATAAATCTGGTATTTGCCAAGTGGGAATGTCAGCTTTATTCCTTGCAAACGTCTTGCCTTACAATTGTACTTGGCATTTCTCGTACTCATCAAGTTAGCAATGAGGAAGTCTACAATAGAACATGAACAATCCCCCTTTCACAATCCGCTTAAGCCCAACTCAAGAAAGACAAGTTTTGTCAAAGTCGACTTCATATCTGAGGAGTGGATGCTGATGGCAAATACTCGACTTTCAAAGCTCACACCCCTAGAGAGAGCCCTAAGTGTGTTTGATTTCTTTTTTTGTTGTTGTTTATGTTCAATCTCACCTTTAGTGGTCTGTTGTCATTTTGTTTCCGTAGATTTGCAAAGACCAGACCTCTGTTGGTTCCCACGGTTGCCTTCAATGAGACAGTTATCATGGTAAAAACCTGTGCTTACAAAGTCAGTCATATCATAAAACATGTTTGAAATACCAATGCGCAATACAATTTAACTAACACAAGGGAGACACTCCCATGTGTAACTCTAACAGACTGCAAATGGTAGAAATGACCAATGTCTGCATAAGAGATAGCCATGTCACATCAAACAAGTTTTTTAAATTGTTCAAGATAGCTCATCTTTAACTATAGCACCTCTTTTTTTATGCCGTCTAGGTTGAAACCCAAAATCGGAATAGCGTAGCTATGTGTATGTGTGTTTTTCCCACAGGCAAGTCCTTCATTAGTTCTTATTCTGTGTGTGCTTAAAGCCCTGATTCCTCAAAGTTTAATCATCAAGTAAACTTTTGCCTTCTTACGGCCAAAAACTTCATCTGGTTTTGAAAAACAAAAGAATTGCCACTGGCACACCATAGATTTCTTTAAAACATTAACTCTATTTACCAACTGCCTCTGATAATTCTATTACTGTCCATTTACAGCCTATTATCTTTCTGCAAGGTATGCTGCATTTATTACATAAAATGTAGTTTAAAGATACTTGTTTTGTTAACCAGTTTCTTTGTTTTC